TTCCGCGCTTAGTGGTAAAGCTTTCTGTAAAAAAAAAATAAAAAAAAAAAAAAAAAAAAAAAAAAAAAATCCAAATGTTGTCTTTACAATCCCGAGAAGGAAAAAAAATGGAAGGGCAAGTTTATTTTTTTCGACGTGTGAAGGTTATAATCTCAAGTTTTTCTGGCCCCTTTCTACTCTCGAGCCTGTAGATTGAAACTTTTTCTTTAATTTGTTAATATTACATGTTACACCAAGGATCATCAGTGCTCAGACATACTGAAAATCAATCTGGATTTGTTGCATGACCCTTTGTTTTATCTGCAATTCTATATTTAATTTATAACAATGTAAAGCATTCTTTTATCTGTCGTTCTCTATGCCTCGCGCATTTCTTCAACCTCTACCAGATCGAGTTGCCTCTCAAAAAAGGCGCTGAATTACCCTACATATGAATGTATCTTTCTACGAAATACACTTGGCTTTTCCTTCCCGTCCTTTTTCCCATTTCGTAGCACCACTTCCTGCGCCTCTTTGGAGTTAGTTTATGCGTTGTGCCGATGAGAGCGGAGTTTTTCGAAGAAACATTCGCCATCTTTGGCGCTTTAGTGCCAGTTTGGTGAATATTCCACACTTTGTGATTGTCGTTAATGCTGATTAAACAAATTTTAAGATTTATTTTGAATTATATCATTCATGCTATAGAATTAATATTCTGTGGATTTTACTTTTTTTCGTAGAGTTTTCATCAATGGTCTGTGTTTTGTTGCTAAGCTTCCTTACAGTTAAATTTATACCCAAAATTTGAATTATTTAAAATTAATTAGCATTGTGAGGTACCTTAGGGTACGGATGATTTTATATACATTTTTGCTGGAATATATAACGCTGCTTCTCCTTCCCTTAAAATGATCCTTAGAAAACCACCTCATCTTATTTGCGCAGCCTAAATATATATTAAAAAGATAATTTATTATTTATGAGTAATTTCTAACATAACCATTTCACTACCATTATGTATGTGGCTTATATGATCACATAATTGGTAAAAAAAGCAGCTCTTAGTTTAATCTGTTCATTTAATTCTACAGTCTCTTAAAACTATTTTAAATTTTCAAACCCGCAATTCCGTCTTATGTGCGGGCCATCCTCTTTTTCATGAAACCCTTTAAAAATCACAAGATAGCTTATATTCAGGTCAATACAGTACTATTGTTATTTGCATAGGCTAAACATACTTTTATTTACAAGCACGAAGAAAACTTTTCAAGTATAAAGAATTACTGCTGATTCAGCCAAAGGATTATATATGTATATATATATGTGATTCACTTTTTGTTCAGTTTGTTTAGTGTTTTGTTCCTGGATGTTCAAAATTCCTTGAATTCAGAACTGTTTCATTCCGAGTTAAGTACTTCTTCCCTTTATACGTTTTTTACGTACTCCAGGAAATATGCATGGAAGAAGCTCATTCATTGTATAGATAGATTAAACTATATATATAATGTAAAAATAGGAATAAAATAATTTCTATCAGAAGTATAGTGGCTTTGAAGCCTTCACGGCGTACCTTTAAAATTTTAGCTCGTACTTAACGTTAAGATCCACTGCTATGAGTACTTATGGGGTGGAGTATAATAGGGTTTAAATAATGCCTATTTTGAGTGCCAGAACATCCATAGCAGAAGAATGCGAGCTTCAATCGCTGGGCTGGTTTCCCCCTTTTAACGTAATATACCTTCCTTTATTTTTCCTCCTCCCCTTAGGTGTATTTTTACGGTAGTGCTTATTGATTATATTTCAACATTATTATTATTGTTTGAACCTGCGTAAGAGTGTTCTCATTGACAATATCTTAAAGATCTAACATTGTTTCTTTATTCTGACATTTATTTATACAAACTTTTTTTTAATACATGATTGAAATAAATTAGTTTGAAGAGAGAATATACTTTTGAATGACCTTATTTTTTATTCTATATTAAGTGTAAAAATTGTTTTGTTTAACGTGACTGAGCGCTGATAAACTTCTTTATGAAATTCTCATTTTTTAACAAATTTAGGCCATTTTTTCTTTTATTAATGTGCAACTGGATTATTATTATTTTAAATACCTGCATTTAAGATCGATCTAGGTGTTCTTCTGTTATCAAGACAAGATTCAGAAATGTATGTTATAAATGCGTATATGTATGGATGTATGTGTTCATGTATGTATATGTGTACGTACACACATATATGCACATACATACATGTACACATGCATATATACGTATATTTCTGAATCCAGTCCCGATAACAGAAGAGTACCTCGATTTAAATTTATTCATAAAGTGGTAAGTAAAGTCAATGCTGACTTATAAATGTAGGCCTAATTAGTTATTAAGCTTGTTTTGTGAAACATTTCTTTACATAGATACAGATAAAGTGTAAATCATTGATGATTGATGTAAAATGTACCAGCTCTGAAAAGTTCCCTATGATGTAAAATGTACCAGCTCTGAAAAGTTATTAACTTCGCTTCATATAATAGATTAATTGGGGAAAGTGTATAATAAAATGTGTAACATATGCTTAATATTTTAGTTCGAATTAATATATAACACATAGAATTTGGTTCCGGATGAAATATATAACGCCCCGGGCAATCGCTCATTTTGCACTCCGCTTAATCCAACGGTGATCCAGCAATAAATCGAATTTTCAAATGTAATTGATTAAAAAAAATTGCTTAAATTTAGAGTTCTTAACATAAAAATTCTATGTGAATTTTATCACCAGAATTCATTAGATGAGTCCATATAAAAGGAATAAAAAGCAATTAACTCCGTTTTAAAATGTTTGTCTATTAGTCATTGTATGGTTGTAGCTAAGATTTAATTTCGGGGAAGGGGAGGCTGTGACTTTTATTAGTCATTGTAATTATATTATTAACTTTGGAATACAGTGAGAAAAAAAAAAAAAAAAACTGTGGTTTATTACTTTTTTATTTATTTGCTTAGTAATTTCACTCCCGTATTTTATTTTAGCAATAAAATGTAAGAGTTTCTAATTTATAAATAATAGCATTTCCTTTAAATCGATTTTAACAAAATATATTAACTATTCCAGATCATAATGCAGATCTCATATGTAAAATTTCTTCGCTTCCGGTAATTGCTTACAAATTATTGCATAATAATTCCGCAATCATGTATGTTCTCTCTGTATATAAGTGTTTTACCTTTAGATCACGTGCAAAGGTGTAATATAATAAAACGTTCATAATATTTACTATTGCAGCTGTAAATATCATTGTTTACATCAGCAGATCCGATCGTTATGGATGGATTATTTGATTGCAGCAAAGCGCATAGGACTGTTTGCTCAAGAGTATGGATGCCTTCGTAAAGGATTTTCTAAAGGAACTGGCTCACAATACACATTATACATTATGAAAGCAGTGAAACCGTTCAAGCAACCAGTCTTAGTCGAGTGGAGCAATCATCATGGATTAAATGTAATTGATCTATGAAATGAATTTAATTATAATTTAAAGCTTTTGATTATTAAGTGGTATCAACTGATTTTGTAATTCGAAATATATATATATTTTAAATCCAAGTAAAGAAATCATACCACATAAAAAATAGGAAATCTGGAAATTATAATTCTTTATATTTCCTTAAAATTTTCTCAAGTTTAATTAAGAAATACCTTGAATAATATTATATTTTTATATAATATTATTCAAGGTTTATTAGAAAGGTCGAACGAAACTAAAGCAATTAAATGTTGCTCAAATTTCAAGTTACGGATGTGCTGTATTATTTAAACAGCAGTACGAATATTTGAGTTAGAAGAAATGCTGACTATTTATTATATTATTATTGAAATGATTTAGAAGTATTTTGTTGTGTTTATATGTTCGCGAAAGAACTGCGAGAGGAGGGGAAGAAAGAAAGAAAAACGGGTTAGTTCAATGCATTTGAAAAAACTGAAGACTGGTTTCGGATATGCAAATCCAAAACGAAAAACGTGTTATTTTGAGACATTATACTTAATTCCTTAATTAGATAGTTATTAATTTGGCTTTTAGCCGTTACATATATTTTAATTTTATAAGCTTACAAATAAGTATGAACATATGTTAAACATTCTTCATAAGGAAAATAATATGTAAGAAAATTTGTGCTAAAGATATGACTTATATATAAACTATAAATTAAAGTATAATCGTTTTTCACATTATTCCAAATAAAATTGATTTTTTTTTTGCTGTTTTCCCGAAATACCCCTTCTTTGGAACTAAACTATTTCTATTATACTTCTCTGTTCATAGTCAAATTCGATTACTTTTATCAAATGCGCTAGAGCTACCAGATTAAAATAAGGTTTATATAAATAAAAAAAGAAATTTTATTAACTTTTTTGATACAAATGGAGGAAACATTTTCTGTAGTTATGTTAGTGTAGGTTTTATTTTGGGAAGCATGGTGTCTAAATTGTATAGTTTTCAAATGAAATATTTAAACTATAGGTAGCATGTTTGTTACAAATGTTAAGTTATAACTTTTTTAATTAGAGAATTTAATTAAAGAATAAAATAAAACAGATTTTTCAGAAAGGGTCACTTAGTGTTAATTAACTGAGTTTATATAAAAGTAAATAGAAAAGGAACCGGATTCTTTTCCTCTCTAATCTGCTTTAAATCAAAATCATGTAAAAATATGTGTAGAAACAGAATCGGAATCACGCTGAAATCTTTAGTAATGATAGAATTTAATGAATGGCATGTTGCTGTATGAATGAAATCATAATTATCAATCAGATATCAATTAGGTTATTTTATCATGTAGATGGTGTGATTGCGAGTTAAAAATCCCTATGTTATCCCGATGGTATCTTCCCTAATATTTTTTTGAATCTCATCGAGTCCATTGGCGATCGATCCCTTGGCGACAGAATTCCACCCACTTCCAAAGAGCGGCGCCACTTCGCAACCCACCCCATTCCTCCAGAGTTGTCGCCAGTCATCCATCCATCCCTCTCAGCCTGCATCTGAGAACACGCACCGTTAGTTCTCCAGTCGGACGCATCTCTAAAAAAAAACTTAAGACCGCGAGACGTTTTGCCAACAATAACTAGTCTTCTGTTGTTTTATTTTATAGTTAAGAAAGGAATTAAATATATTGCCAGTGGTGTCAGTTGGATAGTTGGTTTTGTATCCTGTTCCAATGATGATGTCATTGCGGAATTTCGATGGGGGTTTCGAGAAAGGCGGAGTTCGAGCGCTAAATGTTTGGCACCGTTTTTCCACGCTCAACAAATGTTGTTTCAAAGTGAACTCTTGCTCTTGTTTAATTTAGTGCCGCACGTCTGGTCGTAATCTCGATTTTGAGTTTCGGATTACAGCGTCAAGAGATAAACTTTAGTCTTCCATCATCATCCTGGCTCGGCTGCATGTTTCTGTGAGGTCTTGTGGTTATACATTTATTTTTATAACTTTCTTCCTCGAAGCCTTTTATCGTGATTTACTGAACTGAATACTAGCTGTCACATTACATCTGTGGTCAGAGTTTGTCATCTTAACTGCTTGAAATTGATTAAGTAGTTTCTTTGGAGAGCAATTTTTTCATCGGAAATTTTACTGACTAGTTTTTATATGCGTGAAACTTTTTTGTGTCTTTTTTTACTTTAATGCTGCTATAGATTTTTTATCGATTTTTATAAATTTTGAAGAATCTTATAATCAGCATTTATTGAAAATTTTTATAAGAATCTTTTGAACTTTTCTGTACTGAAAACAGGTATTTGTACTCACATTTTATCCTAACAACGATCTTCGTATTTTTTTCTCCCTTTGAGAAGGAATATTGATGTTTTGTATGGTTTTTGAAAGATCTTTATAAAATAATTTTACTGCAAGTCGAATGTAATTGTGAATGTTTCTGCAATAACTTTTGCGTATATGAACTTAGTATATAAAGATAAACATGGAGGATACCAGCAGTTGGTCAAGAAATAGTTCCCGTCAGCGAAATACCAGGGATTGGATTTTAGAAAATGATCTTGACATAATTCCTCGTGCTCCACATTCTAGCCAGTTTATTAGAATCGAGGTGAGTAATTTCTGATTTTTGAATGTATAAAATTTATGTGTGGTTTAGAAGTTAGGGGGGTTATTAAAGACCAAAATTAAATGCATATATTACGTGAATGTGGAGAAAGTAAGGAATAACTCAAGGTTAAACTTTCGTAAAAGTACAAAGAACTCCTGTTATCCAAATTTCAGAAACCCGAGTAACTTCTTATTATATTTTTTTCCGTAGGCCATATGAAAAAAAAGTGTGCTGTTTATATGTTTGAGTGTTTTCTTATATGCGTATTATAATTAAAATCATTAAGTTGGTGCGAAATTCAAAAATTTAATGATATATACTTTGCCTATATTCTAGTGCTGAAATCAACAGTGAAGACGCTTTTTATGTTTTCAGATGGAAAGTCTTAGTTATTAAAAGGGCAGAAATTGACAACGTCGTCAGTTGTTCAATAAAAAGGAATTAAGAGCGTTTACTTAACCGTTTACCAGCCACTGTTCCAGTGAGAGGCGTTTACAAGAGAAGAAAAATTGTTTTTCAGATTTTGCTTAGTAACTAATTTTAATTACTGTTTGAGAAAAAATTAGTTTTGATGAACGTTTTGATGTATTATTTATTGTAAATTTTCGATTTGGGGCACATGTGTTTTCTTTTCTTCTCTGTCTCTCTCGACTTTTTTTTATTTTTAATATGGAAACTGCAATAATGAAAATTACTTCAATCAAAATTCAAAATGCTTACATGGTAGTTAATTAATGAAATTGGAGAAATCAGTTTTATGAAAGAGCAGGACGAATCGATTTATCTGTCATTGGAAGAGCTTGTGTGAGTCCGGTGTTTCCAAATAGTGAAATGCCAGAAAACTTCATAGAATTATTTCCTTATAATTGTTATATTTTATGTAGAACCGCAGGTTAATTAAAAAAATTAACATTAAAAAATAATTAAAGAAATAAAACGGAATTTGTTAAAAGATTACTGGGAGGTGATCTTTAAATTCATGTCAGTTTGGTCTTTTTGTGGGTTTTTTATGTATTCAGTAGTGGTATTTGTATAACTAGGAAAAGATGGCTTTATCATTTATTTAATTCAAGATTATTTGTAGTCAAAATTGAAAAAATGTACATTTCAGTGTATTAAAATTACTTAATGGATTAAAAACACCAAGTTTAATGAAAATTGGTTATATGCAAGTAATAAGTGAATTAAAGAGCTTATTGTATAGTATTTATAGTTAGCTTTTAGTTTTTAAGTAATCTTTGAAAATAATTCTTGTCTTTTCGAAAACGTCTATTAAATTGCAAAATGTAAGTAGCACTAAACTAATTTTTCTCGAAACTCACTGTAATTTTGAACAGCAGATTTTCAACCGCAACATTTTATTTCGCAACCCAAAAAGTTGTTGTTAGCATTATGTTGCAGGCTGCATAGCCATACGAAAGTGCGCGTATGAGTAACTAGCAGCCCTATTCCACGAATGCAAATCGCAAGACTTCGATTTGGCTGTCCTTCTAGAACTATCGGTTGAAGACAGTTAACTAGCTGGGTGAACAGAAATCTAAGAAATGTAGCCGCCGAACCGAAGTTTTGTCAACATTTGTTTAGCCACTCGGCCGTTTTTCATAGAAATCCTCTTACCAAAGTAATATTGTGATAGCCAATCAGGGCAACAGGATTTATTAATATTACTTATGACCGCTGTTAACGAATTTCTCTTCGTTTTCAGCGTTCGTTAATAGCGGCTAAATTGTCTGCCTCAAGTCTAAGAAAATATTATTATTACTATTAATTACAAACTTCCTGATGCCCTTATTTTCACGCATGTGTCTGATAATGTCTAGTGCCGCCTACCGGGTATAGTGGTTAGTGATGCTAACTGTCGTCAGGAGAAGGCGTGGATATTGTCTGTGTTGCAAGGGGACACTCAAAATACACGGAGAGCCAAAAGTGATCTCGAGAGGCTGTAGTAGGGGAAGAAGGGTAGGAGACCTTCGGACCGCCCCCCCGGGCTTTCTCCATCAAAATTGGGACAGAAACTTAATAATTAGCAACGCCCGGTGATAAATGCACAGGTACCGGTTTTGCTCAACCTATATCTGTTACGATACAGGGCCTAGATATATAGTACATATTTATGATTTCGTCTAGCCGAAAACTGACTACGTAGATTTATTGCGTAACATAAATATTTCTAGTGTTATTGACTTGCATAATATTTTAAAGGATGGGTATATCAGTGAGAAATATATTCTCATATTTTTGTTCATGGTAAAAAAAATTGTGTTTTTAAAAAAATAATTTGAAATGTTGCTTAATCTCTTAATTAACTCCTCTTTTTTATTCCAAAACGTATTTCAGACTTTCGCTAAATTTATTTTATGCGGAACACAGTGCCAGCATTTATTTTCAACAGATCATTGTATATGCTGATAAGTTGGGCGTCACTGTCATTTCCGAAATTGACTCTGAACAGTGATTTAAATCTTAAAGAGTGCAGTACATGCAAAAAAACTCGTGTAGGTAATGTTTCTAAAAACATTTTTATTGAACCTTTTCACTGCTGTTTTAAAATTGGAAGAAATTCTTTTTTCATTTTAAACGCTATCAAATTAATGTATTATTTATAGGCACGGAATTATGTTAAATCGCGGGTCATTCATTTTTAATTTTCATTTTTAATTTTATCGTGATTTAAACCTTGCTATAATGCTAGAGTAATTTTAGAAGACCCGAAAGAGTTACTACAAGGGGGGGGGAAGGTAGGATCTCTCTCTCTCTCTCTCTTTTTTTTTTTTTTTTTTTTTTTTAGTCCAAAGAAACAATTTCCCTAGAAGGACTATTAATTTCGTTTTGGCATTTTGTGTTGGTTCACTATAAACGTCAGTTCACTTTTCAAATTGTTGGCAACAAATATTAGAGCCCTGTATTAAAGAAATGAAATAATGAAGAATCTGCATAGGTGTATGCATGTTTCTCGCATTGTGTTAAAACAACGGTAACTAGAGTTACCAAATTTTGAACAACGTACGTTTCCACCCGAGTATGGGCATCTGGAAGTTTCAAGTTTTATATTTTTAACTATCAATTTTAATCCGGATAATCGCATGGGTGTGATATAATGCGTACAAATACATACTGTTTTTTGTGCTTTATCTATTGTTGCTTAGTTAAATTAATTTTTTAGAGAGAAGGTATTTTTATTAGATATTAACATTTCATCTTGTTAATTGGATTTTATCCATCAGCGCTTGCTGACGGAAAGCTTGTTAATCGGTTTATTTTCTAGCAGACCTTAATGATCGGAAGCTTACTAACCTTTTTAGTCTGAAGGGCAATTTTCCCAGAATTACTACTAATTTCGTTTTGGCATTTTGCGTCGATTCACTAATAAACGGCGAATATCTATTTAAATTGTTGCCACCAAATATTAGAGCCCTGTATTATATTTAAAGAAAAGCCCTGTATTATATTTAAAGAAATTAAATAATGAAGAATCTGCATAAATGTACGTTATGTTTCTCGTATCGTGATAAAACAACAGTACCTAGAGTCATCAAATTTTGAATAACGTAATCCTTCGCCGAATATAAGCATCTGGAAGCTCTAATTTAAAATTTGCTTTATTATCGATTTCATATTTTGTAACACTTTAACGAATTTTTGATTAACAAATTCAACGATTTTAAAGCGGCAATGGCAACACTGTAGGGGAGGGGAACCTTTATCTCCAGCCGCAAGACTATGTATCGGAAATTCTAAAGATATGCTCATTTTTAAATTAATTTGTAATTATTGCTGTTGAACTGAATTTTATGGTTTAAGTGCGAAGAACATGATATTTTATTAATAAAGGTAACACAAAACGTTAAAAAAATGCACCTTTGAACGTTTGAACGTAATGTAAAATCTGAAAGCTTTCAGACTTTTTTTTTAAAATTTCATGTGTAAGAAAAACCGTTTTTTAGACGATGGGGATTTTGGCTAAATTTTCATAGCTTTTGAGCAGTGTACTGTTATAAAAAAATTCTTTCACACTACAACTGAATTCACCATGTCAGAAAGAATGTCAGTGCCGGTTCCCCCCCTCTTTTTTCCCCCGTTTTTTACAACAATGTTTCATATAAATTTCATTTATAAATTAAGATAGGGTATATGAAGAAAGAGTATCACAGCGCGAACGGAAAAAGTGACAGATATTTTTCATATTTGTATATAGTTTTAAAACACTGACTATGGCATTCTGTTACTGATCTCGGTGATTTTCAATGATTGTTTATTTCGAGTTATATGCAGCATAGTATTAATTATACTTAATAATAGTTACCAGACATGATCCGAACTAGATTTCAACTAGAAAGAAGTCCGGGATTTTTAAGGAAGTGATTATAAATGTTGAAGAAAATAGTAATTGGTAAAAAGAGGATAAAGGAACATGCAATTTTTAAGAATGGTTTTATTATGCTGCAAATATGTTAGGGAAAATTCGGTTGCTTTTGAGATCTCGGTGGGTAATTTTATGTATACACCATCGTATGCATCGTGTACATCTTAATAAACGCAATCATCGTTTCAGTTGCTGAGTACTTTTGTTGACCCCGCTCTTTGCTCTTTCACTTGATTTTATTTCTTCATGTCAACTTTTCGTTTGTTGCAGAAATTTAAGGTCTTTCTTAACGCTGAGAGTGATTTTTCATAAAATGTCCTGGATTTACCTTGTGTCTTTGTGATGTTCATTCGTGTCAGGAAATACGTCCGGATAGCTGTGATTGGAAACATCTCCGGCTAGCAATCGAAAAGTCCGGTAATCGAATCCCAGTGAGAGCATCGCATATTTTTTAATGCTTCTTGCTGCGATAAATACCTAATCGCTCTTCAAGCTTTCTAAAATATTGTCATCCTACTTGTTAAGTATTTATACTTTTTTGGGAGTGATTCGTTGCACGAGAATTGTCTAAAAAGGTTTCTACCATGCTTTTATATTACGGAATATTTTTATAATATCTGTTGCTTGTTTTAAAATT